GATCCCACACAATTTGACTGAGGCTCAAAAAACGGATCGCGTCACTTGGTGCAATGCAATGCTTACCAGATTCAACGAAGGGGCGTCAAATTTGGTGTGGGTAACATAGTAACAAGTGACGAAACATGGACTTATAGTTACGATCCCAAAATAAAGAAGCAATCGAGCGTATGGGTCTTTCGAGATGAGCCGAAAGCAACCAAAGTGGCGCGCGTGCAAAGTGCCTCTAAGCGGATGATTGCTTCTTTTTTTAATAAAACTGGATACGTGGCTACTGTTGCTTTGGAGAATCGTTGTACCGTGAATAGTGATTTGTACACGACTATTTGTTTGCCGGAAGTTATTGACAAACTCCGTAAAATAACCGTAAATGCAGTATCATCTCTTCGAGAGTATGGAAAATATGTTTCAGAGACTATCACGGAGGAGTGGCATAAATCTTTTCAAAATTGGTTAATTCGTATGAAAAAGTGCATTAACGCTAGCGAAGAATATTTTCAGAAATAATAAATTTATTTCTGACCATTTATAGTATTTTTTTCTTATTCATTCCGGAAACTTACCTATAGTGCGCCCCACGTATAATGTTTTATCCGTGCGTAATGTAAAGCAAAACGGTAAAAAAAAATTACTAATACATCAGAATAGTCAATTTAGGTAATTAAAAAAAATCTGATTTGCACTTCTTATTGAAAAGAAATTAAAAAACCTGCCACTTGTATTTAAAGTAAGTTATTCAAATGTTGAAATGATTTCGATGTTGAAATTTTCGCTGCACAAACAACACTCAACTACAAATATGTGCCATATTTGCATGCGATACATCCAAAAAAACATACAATCGAATTGAGAACTTCTACTTTTTTGAAGTCGGTTAAAAATAAGAACAAGCAGAGAAAATTTGACACTGGCGCGGCGTCAAGTTTTGGGACACATGTGAATTTTATAATTAACACGGCTTCAGTTGCAAACCAAAATTTAGCAGATATAGAACCTTCCTGTACCTGTAGTACTTAAATAAATATTTCTCTACATAAAATTATGTAAGGTCAGATAGGGTCAGAGGAATATACTTTATTTCGAGACAAATATTATGAGCTCTAGGAAGAATAAATAATGTTATATATGAATTTCGAAATACTCTAATCTTGCCCTGGTTTATCAGCTTTCCATGTTTTGACAATTACGCTAAAATTAATATTTACGATGTATCTGACAAAAACTTTCAGGTTGTGCTAACGTTTCTCTTCCCCCAAAAAATGGGGTAAGAGGAACTGTCATCGTATTTCATATAATGTATATTTAAATATATACGTAGTTAATTCCTAAGTAAAACTTTTTCAATCGAATTTGAGCCTAAAACTATTTAAATAATTTATAGTTATCAAAAAAAAAAAACAAGTGAAAAACGAGTTTTGGGGCAAGAGGAACATACAGGTTAAGGTCAGGGGTGACAATTTAAAAAAAAGCGAATCTGTTATAATTTTTTTTATAACATCAAGTGACGGGACGAACAAGTCGTGTGCGCGATGGTAAGCTACACGCCTGTACATAACAGGACACATTTTTTTCGTACAGAGCATAACAAAAGCATATTTTTAACCACTCGTTTACAAATCAACACATAGAAAAACAATGTTTGGTCCAAAAATAAATTTATAAACAAGATTTATTGTTCTCTAGTCACCAAAACCACTCTACTTTGAAAACCGTTCCACTAAATCAATTGAAATTTAGTATAGAAGTAGTGTGACCACGTAGCTAACGTTCAATGAGCCATTTTTGTGTTTGTTCTTAGATTACGCCATTATTTTAGAGCTTATGTAATTTTTTTTTCTTTTCGACTAAAATATTAAATTTTCTAAAAATTCCTGACTGAAAAAAGAATTTTGCTGCAGGCCTTAAAAACTACCTTAAGATGTGTGATTGTTTACACATAAACACTACAACACTACATTATTGTTTCCCCGGTGCTCCTCTTACCCCATTTGACCTTAGAATGTTAGATGTTTTATTCTTAAATAATTCGTTTTATACTTTTATTTTGGCCTGTTTTCAGGATTTTATATTATCGGATAATGTGCATGTTATTGTGTAACAAATTAGCAGATTCTTTAAACAATATCCTTAGGGTGTCCCGTATATTTTTTTGTAAGATCGTTATTTAATAGTAAATACCTAGACCATTTGATTTAGCAAAACAGTTTTTCCCGTTGCTCCGCCAGTGACTCGTCTTAAAGGATTATTTTTATAATTATAAATAACAAACTAGTGAAGTAAGTTCACAAAAAAATGTATATAGGATAAGATATTAGGGTTATATTTTGATCGTCCAACAATCCTTTAGCGCGGGATTCTTATATTAATTAATAGATAATAAAAATTAAAAGTAAAAATTTCTTTTTAATTGTCGATTCGCGAAATAAGCATAACATTTTCAACTTCCTTTTGTTCCAAATCCAGGTTCTTCAAGTATTGCATCGATTTGTATTTGAAGAAAATGTTTTGTGTAAATAAGAAACAAATTTGAAACAAATACAGTTTGTTTTAATGAAAGAAATGCATAAAATACAATAAACGTGCACTCATCACATCTAACAGCACAGATTCAACGTGATGACTTTTCTCATCACAGCTAGACAAAAATCTACAATATGTTTATAGTACCAGTCTTGTGTACTATACAGAAAGTTTAGCCCGGTCCACCTGTGACGCTGCCTTTACAATAACACAATATCGTAGAAGAAGCTTTTGAATTACAGCTAAGAGCAAAGTAGGTATTATATAGGATGTCTTTTTTAAAGATGGAGTAAAATGACATTTGCAGGGTTGCCAGTTTTCATAAAATTTGAAATAGTCATGTAGGTGTTGTCGACATTTTCATCGTTAGATTGTGAACCAAGGTAATATTTTGCCAGAAATGTATGATTTGTGAATGTTACGACGATCTAATGATTACTAATTGCGTTATTGATTTCTTCATTCTTATTTAGACAGTTGGCCTTCTATTAACGAAATATTTTTTTATGCATATTTGATTATCTATATTGAATTAAAATTAAAAACTTTAAAATACGTGTCGTCTTTGTATTTTTAATAGTGTATATTGTATTCGCGTGTCCAACATTCAGTCGACAATCGAAAGAATATAAATTTGTCGACTGCAGTCACTAGCTGCTTGCAACACTTGCGCGATGAACTGTCATTTTACTCCATCTTCAAAAAAGACAAACTATAGATAGATATACAATATATTCGCTAATGTGACATAAACATAGATTAAACGAAATTTTATCGCGGATAAAGTACTCATCTTCTAACAACAAAAAATGTTTTTCCATAACTTTTTACTGTAGACTAGTTTTACTCTGTTGACTAAAATCTCGGTATATTATACCTTAGACTGCAAATATAATTTCAAGCAATTTTTCCGAAGGTCAATTCTATTTGCGGTTACAGGGAAGTAGTTTAACTTACTGGTTAACCACAACAGCACAACAGGTTACAATTATTTCAATAAAACCTACGGCCGTAACACATGGTTGTAGTAGCAATAAGATTATTCCTCTTGTAACAACAACACCTCTACAAATTCTGAAGTAGCTCGAATATTGCCTTCAAGCCGAATTGAGACACGCACCCTTGATGTCATAACGCCACATCTGCAACTTTTTAGGAGAGAGATTTAACGATTCTACGAATTAAATTAGTCGGTAACTTTTTTATACTTAAACAGAGAAGAATACATAATTTGTTTCATATAGTTCTTATTATTTTTAAACTACTTTAAAAAAGGAAGGGGTTCTCAATTCATTTTTTTTTTTTTGGTGGAGAGAGGATACCTCTGTAGTGGTCCCATTAAATTTGAAGAAAATATTATACCTCTAAGGGTGACAAACTATGGAATGAATCCGGTTTAGCGTACCTTTCGGTGACCGATTCCAATTAGCGCACCTTTCGGTGACCGATTCCAACAAAACTTGGCAAATAGATTTAATTCCACGAACTTTTGAGGTCGGTTTTATTAGTAGGTACTCTGTACTGAGATTTATGACGTTCATATCCTGAAAGCACTTTACCTATTTCTGCCGTCAATCAGTAATGTGAGTATTACTGAGTTCCGGTTTTGAAGGGTAAGGGTGAAATTACAGGCACATGGGACTTGTCAACTTATGTCTCAAGGTGATGGGCGCAGAGGCAGTGCACCTCAGATCTTTGCGATTCAAAGCTCTGAGTAGCATTGCAACTGTTATGGAGAGGCATGTCATTTACCAATAGGCGCTCGACTTGTTCGTCTCGTCACTTAGTATGATAAAAAAAATGAGACTTGTCAACTTATGTATCATGGTGATGAACGCAGTGGTAGTGCTCCTCAGATCTTTGTGATTTAAAGATTTTAAGGCACTGCATCTGACATGGACAGGCCTGTCGCTTACCACAGGCGTCCTACTTCTTCGACCCTTCACATGGTATTATAAAAAAATGGAATAGTGGTATAGGTAGTTACAGGCACGTGGGACATGCCAATTTATGTCTCAACACTTTGAGACATAAACTGCCACAGGCACAGTGGCAGTGATCTGAGGGCAGATCATTTCGATTTAAAGCTGAGCGATACTGCAACTGTTATGGACAGGCTTTGCTTACCACCAGGTGCAAGACTGGTTCGTCCCGTCACTTGATATTACAGAAAAACTTTTAGATATGATCACACGTGGCTCTGTTATGTGAAGTGTACTTCGCTAGTATGAAACGACGTATTATTGCTTGTCATTAATTCAGCATTTCAAAACTATGATATCCAGAGAGCCTACAGAATCCTTCCATGCATATCTGAATTCCTCTTAGCCGTAATCAACATTTGTATTAAATCAGGCATTGATACACAGTCAAATCGTTAGGACTTAAACAATGGAACTAAGCAATCCGTTGCATTTTCCGCCATTAACACCAATAAGTAGTTATAAATAGGACACATTATAACTTGAATCTTTCAGTGAACCGGAGAGTTGATCAGGATGAAGTTGTTAATACTTACAGTTGCACTTGCTGTAATTGCTTTTGTTGTTTGTGAACAATATACGGATCGATACGATGATATAAACATTGACGAAATTTTGTCCAATAAAAGATTGCTTATTCCTTACGTGAAATGCTTATTAGACAAAGGTCGTTGCACTCCGGAAGGCAAGGAGTTGAAAGGTATGTAAACTTCGATAAAGCGTAATTCCTAAACGACTTCATATCGTATGTGTTCTATGTTCACCTACTTATAATAATGAAATATTAATTAAATATAAATAAACATTCATATTTGAGTTCATGAAAGCAACACTGTTTTTGATTCCTTCATAATTAATTCTATTTTATTGTGTATTATTCATTAATGTATTTTATTATAAATTAACTTTCATTAACTGTTATTAATTTTCAATAATTGTTAGTATAATTTTTGTTATAATATTATGTTATGTTATTGATAACATTATGGAATGCTACACTATTGTATTGGGATGGTCCTGTCAAAATAGTTGTATGTATGAAATAAATAAAGCAATATTGAACGAATTACCATTAACAGTACTTAACAGGATGAAAAAAAAAAACAAAAAATCAATTGAAAACCGTGTTAAAACGATTTTTCAATCAGATTGATGTGGCTGTGAGGCCGGTCATCACAGTGGCCGACTGCCATAGAAATCAATAAATATAATTAAGTAATTTGCAACAAATAACTTAAAACTTGCATGTTCTTTTAAATACTAAGAACCTGTTTTCCCTTGTCTCATTGTATTGCAATGGCATTGTCACGCCACCTTGAGCGTCTCAGTCGGAAGTCATATAATCTTAAAATGTAAAAATTATATATGCTACTAAAGTCTGAAGTAGTAACTTCAGACTTTTGTATCATATGGGTGTGTATAACTTAGAAGTTTTTTTTTTGTAGAAAGGGTTTGCGGGACATTTCGTAGATGTTTCACGTTTTAACGACTGTTTTAAAACATTTACGGTGTGTTTTAAAATTAAGCTTTTATTATAATTAAGTTTAAAATTTTAAAACAGGATGTGAATATTTTAAAATAATCATGGAAACCTAAAACATGCTTCTCTGATTTTGTTTTCAAAATGTCGCTTACACCCTTTCTACAAAACACCGAGGGTATATCCTTGCGATGTATAATATAACAAAGATGTATGGAACATACTCAGGTTGTAATAAAGCATTAAAAAAGTTAACTCTTAATGTAATTCGAGCCTTAATGTCTTATTAATATAATACAATTTTGCAGTGTTTCCTTGGTAATTGAGGGTCGTGCTTGCCATGTTCATTGCATACCAAACATTAAACTCATGTTTTTGTTTCCAGTACATATCAAAGACGGAATGCAGACGTCGTGTTCAAAATGTACAGAATTCCAGCGGAAGATGGCTCGCAAAGTTGTGAAGCACCTTAAAGATAACGAACCTGATTATTGGGAACAGCTGAAGGGTAAATATGACCCTGAAAACAAATACGTCGAAATTTATGAAGCTTTTTTGGCTTCTGAAGATTAAGTAGATTAAAATCCAATCAAATAGCAATTTCATTTCTTGTGTTCTGGTTGGTTTATATTTCAATATAAAATTATTTATTGTATTTTTTTATGACGACATGTCTACAAATTTTTAAAGATTTAATTTATTTGTTCCAAACAATAATACAAAATAAAATAATTGCTTTTGCTTCATTAAAAATAAAATTATTTTTGAAAATTAATTATTTTGTTTCAATTTTCTTAATAACAGGCGAAAGTTCCAAGACTCGCTTGTTATAAACTTTAGATTCACATTTGATTAGGCAGACACTATCGATTGGTCGACGCACTCTGCACGATCCTGATAATCCTCTCTTCACTTGACTTACCTACATTAATCAATATTGTCGTACAGTATCTTATTTCTCTTAATATACTTTGAGTAGTGAGAACCGATTTTTATTATCTCCTGTGTCAAGTTCCGTATAGTGGCGAACTAGGGGAAGAGTCCGGTTTCGCCAAGCCTTCCGGTAAGCGATTTCAATATAACTTGATAAATAGATGTAATTCCACGAGCTTTAAGGTCCATTTTTTTAGTACTCTGTACTGAGATTATTTAAACAAATGCTTGCAAATGTTATCCGCTTTAGCACCGCAAATGGCGTGGACAGTACAGTACAGTAAAAGCCCTTAACATAGTGTAGCCGTGATAAGCCAACATTGCGGTTTTATGAGATACTATTTGTTTTAATTCACGTAGAACAAAAACAAATATATTTAGCCTACTGCACACATGATCAATTTGTTGTTCCCAGTTAAGATATTTATCCAATTTTACTCCTAGGAAACTAAAACAGTCTATTGTTTCTACCACTTGATTATTATAGTACACTTGAATAGGCAACGGATTACAATTAAACGGCCTAAACTACATAAATTTTGTTTCGTTAATGTTTATATTTAAGTCATTAGTTGCATTTAACCATTCAATCACTTTATGCAGTGCTTTATTTATTTCTATCTCAAAATTGTCTCAAGTTGTTATGATTCTGAAATTGGAAAATTATTATTTGTGGGAATGACGATATCAAACAGTAATGAAGATACAATAATAAAAGAAGAGAAAATAATTAAGAAGTCGTCAAAAAGAGAATTCAATGTCTGTAGAGAACCAATTACAGATGAACATTCCCTGCACTTAAAAATTATATAACAGATTTAAATTACACGAGTTCATCCTGATTCACAACGTGGGAACGGTATTTCCATGGACTATTAGTTATTGGTGTGGAGTTTAATAGAGCTGCTAGTGCGTTTCATTGTAACCAAGCAGGTAATTAATACACAATGTTTGACTACCTCTTCTTGTCTTGTTGTTCTTCTGGTATCCAGCTTATATGTCGTCCCGATATTTGTTAAAAACCTGAACTAGGTACTTAGGATCTACCAATCACTGATATAAGTGCTCTGAAGTTTGTGATACAGTACACTAAAATTCTAGTAAACATAAAGTGAAATAATATATTATTATTTTTAGTCTATAGTTAAATAATGGTTCTTTTCACCTCACTAGCTCCGAAAGGCTTTCTTTCTCATTAGAAATCTGCATGCAAACGCGTTTTTACCACGCTAGCGTGGAAAAGATTTTTGAAATTCGAACTTGACGATGGATAGTGGTGCACCTAACTTTTTCTCTCGATGAATAAAAAAGGTTGTTTAAAGGTGATGAATAAAAAAATGACATGTTCAACTACGCGATTCGTCGTACATTATTTATGTAATATAAATCCGTTGGTATATTTTATTCATATTATTGTTGACATTAAATTGACTACGATAACTAATTTTGTTTATTAAAACTAATTTGTTATAGTTCAACTGTTTTTCTGTCATCTACCATTTTGCTCGCTAGTGAGGTGAAAAGTTGCGTGTTTCGGTCGGCAGCAAAGTTGTTTTGCGTCTCATGACTTGAATCCTCCACTTGCTCACGTTTCAATACAAGCACTTGTGTCAAACAACAACTGTTTGTGGTGTTGTAAGTACACAACTCAAAACATATCTATCTAATAAAGTAAAAGACAAAAATCATATCTCAGATAACAATTTATTACTCTTTTTTTATGACACTATTTTCTATAGTTTACTGGTGATACATAGATAAATACTACATTCTTTGTACATATTTAAAGACAGTTGTTTCTTTGAGAAAGCTTCATATCAAACAACTAAAATTTTTCGTCTAAAATCATCATTGTCTGTTAACGTATTAATAGATGGAAGTTTATTTTGTAATTTGAACCAATATTGGGTATCACTTTATTGTTTAGGCGAGTGATTACCCCAATATGGGTTATCATGTTTTTCCTATTTTACAGGTCATATTACGCCTTGATCTTTCTGAGTTCGTCTTCGTATTTCTTGGTGTACTTGTGGTCGGGGTCGTACTTTTCTGTGAGCTGGTTCCAGTACTCGTTTTCGTTGTTCACGAGGTGACTGATAACCTGGCGAGTCTTGGTCTTCTGAGTATCGTTACATTTCTCACAATAGGTTTCTAGGGCTTCTTTGATGTGAGCTGGAAATAAAAATATTTTATTAATAAGTGTATAGTAAATCCTTCGGGGACTATACGTTTTTCAAACACATTGGCCCAATGGTGATGGTAACCTAAAACCTCTTCTAAGACGAGACTCCTGCTAAGTAATGGGACTTGAATGATGTGGAACAATATTTTTTTTTATAATACCTAGTGACGGGACGAACAACTCGTGCGACTGGTGATAACCGACACGCCTATCTATAGCAGTTGACTGCAACTTTGGTTTGGTTTGGTTTGGCACTAGCCACTCAGAGCTTGAAATCGCAAAGATCTTAGGGGCTTTGCGACTGCGCCCGTCATCCTGAGACATAAGTTGACAAGTCCTATGTGACTTTAATTTCTCCAGCACCCTTAACCCTTCAAAACTGGAACGCAGTAATAGTCACATTACTGCTTAGCGGTAGAAATAGGTAAGGTACAGTGCTTCCCTGGATGAATTCTTTCACAAGGAGTTTTACTGCTTCTAAAAATGTTTAGATTTGCAAAAACGGCATTTTGATAATTCTGTGCTTCACTTTGTGTACACCATGTGTACTATTGTCTTGTGGTAAATGTATATTAAGTACTTACATTTAAGTTCCTTGCCCTCAGCTGAGCATTTTCCTTGGTCAAGCATACACTTGATGTAAGGCGTCAGGAGACGCTTGTTGTTGAGGATCTCGTCAATGTTAATGTTGTCGTAGCGGTCGGTGTACGTCGTGTCAGGGCGTGCCGCAACAATGGCGACCAGGGCAAGGATGCAGACAATGATGGTCTTCATTTTGGATTTGCTGAAATTTTTATTGAAATGTTATTTTTCTGTGATTTTATAGAAGAATGGTTAAATGTGGAAAAAATCGCATTATTGGAAACAAATGCTGATTATACAAGTTTTATAAAATGTATATTTAGGATAGAAACTTGATAAAAAAGAAAATTCTAAAATGCAATAGTGTATGGAGTTAAAACCGAGTGTTATTAAATTGTCAAATAAACAGCTCGTCAAACATCATGAGTACTTTTAAAAACAAACTACTACACCATCCACTGGTAGCATCTATAACAAATATTACATCACAGATTAACTAACATACTTGGTCTTAAGTAATCCACATAACGTTTCTTTAGGAATGGTGTATGTGAACTGCTTATCCCACGCTCCTACCTTGTACTAAGATACTCACATTTAAAAGATTATGTTTATGCTTTCACGTGTGTACCAGATGAGTGGTCTCGAGTGATTATGCCTCTAGCACGATCCACCGTTTTTATATATGCAATCATCTGGATCATCGACTCTTAAGCTGCTGAGAAAAAAAAAACAAAAACAAGTTTTACATTCTCAGAACTTGTAGTTGTGCGTTAAATTTGCTTAGTACAGTCGTGGAACATTTTGCTAGGCAGTGGGCAAATCCCCCTGACGACGTAGGTGTATGCGGCGTGTTGTTTACTTATTACTAAGGCCACTGTGGGACTATTATCTTGAAAATTATTAGAAGATATTTAAAAGATAAAAGATAAATTTGGAAAAAAGATTATACACTACAAAGGAGTTATATGAAATTAAAAACTAACTGTGCATCAAATAAAAAAGAAACCGACCTCAAAGTTGTTGTCCGTTTTTGTTGTTTTAATATCATTGAAATTACATCAATGTGTCAAGTTTTATTGAAACCGGTTAACGGAAAATAGGTGAAATTCAATTACCCGAATACATTCCCTAGTTTTCCCACACTTAGAAGTATTTTTTTTTCAAATTTGAATGGGATCACATATAGAGGTACTGCATTTTCAAAAAAAAGAATCATTGATGTATTTTAAAGATTTTAACAGATTGTATTTTACGATGCAAACAATAATAATAACAACTTTATACTAGAGAGATAGTTACAATATTTTACTACTTAGTGATTGATTCCTGACTAGTCAGGTAACATCCAGACTTTTTAAAAGAAATTTATTTACTAAACATTGAAATCGATTCACAAATATCGGAATAATCGCGTAACGTACATAAAAGAAATGATAATAATAAAACAGACGAATTGAGAACCTCGTCCTATTGGAATCGGTTAAAAAGCGACGTAAATGGTTTTTAAATTTAAATAGCCACCTTTAATGCAAAACAAATTCTAGGAGAAAAAACAAGTTTGCGTTGATTTCTAGATTTAACCAATACTCAGAAAACATTCAACAACCATAGCAGTATAATTTATATTTATTGTTTATCTTCCTTTGGATGACAGCACTATTTATTTTATTACTTTACTACGGACTCTAAAATTGAGCTCCATTTTGAACTGAAGGGTTTTAGAAACGTTTGACGTGTTTGATTAAAATATGCAACACATCTCCTCCTAGTGAGGTGATCTGATCTGATCCTACTAGGTATCAATTTGAGAAATTAATCATATATTGTTTGTAGCATAATCCCCGCGATACAGGGTTTGCCTAGTGCGGAACTATGAAAAAAAAAACAAAAAAATACACACGTAAGATTTTTATTTATCTTACATACTCGATATTATGACAGCCTCAGTGGCCTAACGGCTTACACTGTGGGCGCTCGATGCGGAGGTCCCGGGTTCGATTCCCGATAGGACCAATTTGGGAAATGAACTTTACTAAATTGATTCTTGTTTCGGTGTTCTGGGAAGTGCCCCAGAGTGAATTCTGTTACTCTGGTGCTCATAGTACAGGGAATTCCCTAGTTTGAGTCCAAGCAATTGGTGAGGTTGTCTACTTCGACGGCCTAACCATTTGCACTGTCGATGTCGGCGCTGGATGAGGAGGTCTATGATTTGATTTCCGAAAGGGCCAATTTGTAAATGAAATTTTCTAATTTGGTTCTGGTCTTAATGTTCTGGGTCTTTACCCAGGTAAATATCGTTCCTCTGGTATTGATAGCGCACGGATTTCTCTAGTTTGCGAACAGGTAATTGGTGTTACCTGGCACATTACACTTTTTACTATAGATATATTAATTTGTTTAAATATTCAAAAACCAAGGATCTGTAACAAACGCATAGAAAAATTCGTAAGGTTTGCTGACTCGATCTGTAGCTACAGATTAGATCAGATCAGTTGATAGAGAGGTTGCCCTAGATTAGCAAAACAGATGCATGATTCGACACCTGTCAGATCGAAGGAATTTTTCTTCGTGTTTGAACTTTGTATTAACATTTCGTCGGTAGTTTGTGGCGCCATTTCGAAAAAAAATTTTTGTGGAGTATATTTTACTTTTTCTCGACTGTTTTAAACTATTAACGTCCGGTTTTAATTTAAATTTTAAAACTTAAACTTAATTAAACCGAAATTGAATTTTAAAACACGACGTAAAAAGTCGTTAAAACCTTAAATATGCTCTCATGAAACATTTTTCGAAATGGCGCTATCCCCCTTTCTACAAAACACCGACGATTTAAAAGTTGCTTAGGAAAATATTTAGTTCACAGAAATTATACCGATTCATACAGAAACAAAACCACGATATACCAAGGTCAGCGCAAAAGTCGTAGGAAGAAATAATACTCCGAATTGTATTTTTGCAAGTTCAAGCAAAAATCACCTCACGTTTAATGTCATACCTACGTGATTAATAAGTTGCAATTATTGATTTATGTAATCATAAAAAAATACATTGTGTAAATGCACTATTCAAGACATTGAACATAAAGCAGTAAAGAAAAAAAATACGTGACAGTTGGAACAACTCGTACGCCTGGTGGTAAACGACATGCAAACCATAAAAGTTCACGTGCCACTCAGAGCAAAATATTGCAAAAATCTGAGAGACAGTGCCACTGCATTCGTCACCCCATGTACCCACAGTTTCTTAGCACTCATACCCTTCAAAAGCAGTTCGTAGTAAGCTCACATTACTGCTTAGCGGCAGAAATGTCTGATGGCTATAGTTCCCATGGACGAACTCTTTCACTTTTTCTTCTACTGTTACTAAAATTTTTCTGCTATCGCCTCCGCTTATGGCAAATTTTCCACGTTATTGTGGATTTGAAGATAATATTTCTTTTCGTATTTGTATGTACATAGGGCGCACTATAAGTTTCCGGAACTGGCCACTTACGTAAACAATATTTAAAAAGTCATTACAAATTGTGAAAATGGAACTCTTTGGCTGTAGAATACAGTTTGTTTCATCTGAATCCACTTGTTTTTACATTGTGGCGTCATTTTAAAAATTGGTTGTCTACATCGCCATGGATTTAACTCATGAAAATTCTCGTAGTATGATTTTCTACGACTTTAAGTGTAATTTAACAGCTCAGCGGAGCTTTGCTCGGCTTCAAACTGCTTTTGGCGATGAAGCGCCATACAAGACAATTATTTATAGCGGCTTTGCAGAATTCAAACGCGATCGTGTGAATCTCTGTGACGAATTTCGTGATGGTCGCCCGTCCACTGCTGTGAACAACAAAAACATCGATGCTATGCGCCGTATGACCAAAACAGACAGGCATGTGACATAACATGACATTCGGGCATCTTTAGGCATAAGCATGAGTCAAATACAATCGATACTACATTTGGGTGTAAAAAAACTGTGCTCTCGGTGGATGCCACATAATTTGACTGAAGCTCAAAAAACGGATCGCGTCACTTGGTGCAATGCAATGATTACCAGATTCAACGAAGGGACATAGGTCCCACACCAAATAACAGGTGACAAAACATGGATTTATAGTTACGATCCCAAAACAAAGCAGCAATCGAGCGTATGGATCTTTCAAGATAAGCCGAAACCAACCAAAGTGGCGCGCGTGCAAAGTGCCTCTAAGCGGATGATTACTTCTTTTTTTAATAAAACAGGACACGTCGCTGTTGTTGCTTTGGAGAATCGTTGTACCGTGAATAGTGATTGGAACACGACCATTTGTTTGCCGGAAGGTATTGACAAATTCCGTAAAAATAACCGCAAACACCGTATCATCTTGCACTACGATAATGCCAGTTCTCACACGGCCAGACAGACAAATGAATTTTTGAAAGTGAATAACGTTGACCGAGCCATTCCGCGTACAGTCCCGACCTGGCACCTTGTGACTTTTATTTATTTCCAAAAATTAAGAACCAATTACGCGATCAACGATTTCCATCACCTGAAGAGGCTGTCGAAAAGTATGAAAAATGTGTTTCAGAGATTGTCAGTGTTTCGGTTTCAGTTTCGGAGGAGTGGCATAAATGTTTAAAATAGGTTCATTCGTATGAAAAAGTTCATTAACGGAGAATATTTTGAGAAACAATAAATTCATTTCTGATGAAGAAAAAATACTAAAAATTAGTATTTTTTCTTCATTCCGGAAACTTATAATGCGCCCTATGTACCTATATATTTTTTTAAAAATATACATAAATATACATATCGTTTGGAAACCTCGTTTTTTGTGTTTGTCATACGATCAAATGATTTGGTTGCGTTTAAAGACAAGGTTTAATTTGATGTCAATGACCAACGAGCCGTTACGTCACTAATAGTATAATTTAAATATTATTTATGTGAATAGCTGTAATGGCATTGAGTAAAGACGTCATCCGGTTTAGCCTTATCATCCAACCTCAACTTTACCACTTGGCAACGGCTGGTGCCGAAAAACTTGATTTAACTTGTCTATTTTCCATTTCAGGATATAGGCACTTAAAACTTTATAGATCTTCGCGTACTGATTAAAATATTTTTTTAACAGCTGATGCATGTTGGTTTAGTAATTTTAAAAATTTTGTAAATTTTCATCGTTATTTCTTATTAAAATATCTCTCATTGAGAAATTTAAAGATTTAAATAATGACGAAAAAAGCTATACAAAACAATACTTTCGTAATACTGTTTTGGTTTGTCGCTGTGTATACATGTACAAAAGTATTAACATCGGTGTTGTGAGTAACAAAATTAATGATAAAAGATCCAAAAACCTGCTCATAAGTTTGTGCGTCATATTTGCATTTAGTTCTTCTTAATATATAAAAAGTTCCATTTCAAAGCTGGAAATATTCCTCCGTGTTATTCATTATTCAGAAGTCAAGGTCTAGGTTGTAAAACTACTTCCTCTGTTATGTTGCATTTTTTGTTGTAACATTTACGTACAGGTAAACAAACGTTAACGACACAACAACGAACTTTATTTAAGCTAACCTAAGCTTGCTGTCCGGACTGGACGGAATTTCAATTTACATGTTCGTAAACATCAAATTTAAAGTAATTAACTTAATTGAACTTTTAGGTACTCTAGTCTAGCCCATTGTAAAAAAGGATCTTACCCTAATTTCTGATACAGATAGAGTTTAACAAAAATTGGAATCGTTTTCACTGCCTTTTAACATAATTCTTCGACTTCTTAGGTTTTCGTTAAATTATTTTTATATAGTCATCAGTGACCATGATACCTGTAAAGAAACCGAAACATTAGTTTGTTTGAAAAAAAAAGTAAAGACGATTTTAGATTCGAAAAAAATCTGGAAAAAATAGTTTCATTTATAATTACTTACATTCTTAAATATTTTTTCACTATTTTTACATACGGATATGGAGCCCTTGTTTACAGAGTTTACTTTTATTTGAGTAAAGGAGCCACTAAAGAGAGTCCAAGAAACTCAATATCTTCAGTTTAGGTAATTGACACACAACTTTATACTGACATGGCCATAACCCTAAACTTAATATTTTATTTTTATATTATTACATCTTTGCTTATACTCTTGTTTCAATTTCTTAACTAATAATGCCAGTATTGGTAAAAGGTAATTACATTCCTTTTCAGTAAAGCATTTTTGAATTAAATTGTTTGTTATCAAAAGTATGACTAGCCGAAAAATTAAAACTGTTCCCTGATTTCGTTTTCTTCTATGATGCGCCTTCTCATCACTTTTAGGTACATAGTAAATTGTTCTTCAAGAAATAATGCAAAAATAGAAGCTGCCTAACTGTATCTATGTACGACTATCTCCAATAATATAGAAACATGATACGCAGAGAAAATTGCATAAACAAAATTTCAAAGGATACTTCAATTTGTCCGCGACAGCAAACTTACACTTATTTTTCTTTTATCACAGCCTTAAAAATAATTATCAACCACTTTTTTTAAACAAGACTACATTAAGTACTACCTATATCAAATAGCAGAATACTACCGTCTAATTATAATTAAAATGATGTGCTGTGTTGTGGTACTGTATGTACTATGTGGATGTATATAAAAAAATACCTGTAACTTTTTGATCGCTTTATAGACTACCACTACTATACGCGAATTTATCTAAAGAAGTTCTAAAGAAGTATTTTGATCGTAAATCATAAAGTATTCGTAGTTGGTGCCACATGAATCAAAAAAGTAATTTCATTAAATTAATTTTAGCAATAACTACGTGCAGGCATTGGACGCTGAATGACGTCTTTAGTTTTTATTACATGTTTGTTGGTGATATTTATTTTTGTTACTAAGATCAATATTTATACAAGCACAGACAGGTCAGTAATCGTGTCGTCCATGTGTTGAGTGAGTTATCGGGCGATGCGATTTCAAAATATAAAAGCGGAATGATGTAGCTCGAACTTCAATTTAATAATTAGATCTAAATATATTTATGAACGGTACGAAACAATAGAGATTAATTTGGATAAACAATAGACGTCGCCAGTGACAGCTGAGCCCCCCTTCCAGTATCTGGTCTTACCTCAACCTGCGTTTAGAAATAATTTGACTCGAATAGTAATAATAATAACGCACACACTAAATATAGCCCCGCACTAGGGAACCTCTGTGTGGCGGGTGCCATGGATACACACATAGACAACCACAAATTACACCGAACTCACGAGAGAAATAAATGTATGCCATACAAATGTTTCTCCCGAGCCGGGAATCGAACCTGGGACCTCTGCGTGGCAGTCTAGCATGGTAACAGTACGGCCACAGAGGCCGAACTGTTACCATGCGAAAGAGGTTAATTAGATTCGAAGCGAATTGTCGTTTGGAAATAAAAAAAATTACAACTTGATACAAATCAATATAGCAATCGGCACCACCGAACCGATTCTCTCGACGCTCCGTCATAAAACTTATCTATTTGTTTATACCTTCGTTTGAAGCCTGTCTGAGTTTTCTTATTCATTATATTAAGCTGGAAGATGTATACTGATGTAAAGCAATCATTAATGCACCACCAGAACCAAATTCCAGAACGCACAATTATATGTATGTAGGTCGCTTGCATCCAAATGTCACAAAGAACTATACGACTTTTACAAAGTCCACCTAGATCGACCTTGATACAATCTTGGTGGGTTGCTGCTCAAAGACCTCTACTATATAAATCATTCACGATCATCGCCTTTATTAAAGAGAAAACCAAATATAAATTTGTCTTAATCGCCACAGTAGCTTGGTAAATTCTCAGTGAAGCTGCTACATGACAGCGAAACGCTGCTCTACCGCTGTATCCGCTTTTTACAGATTTGTATTATATTTATTTCAAAAATCAATTCAATTTTCATTTATCATGGTTAGAATCCTAGCTGATTTAAAGTAAAGCTGCAGTTACACGAGCTGCAATACAACAATTACTAGTTAGGCATTATAATAATATGTTAGTTGCGATTACTGTTACTAAGAAGTCGGGCGGTACGTAAAAACTCATATCTGATATTCTAACTGCTTTTCTGCAGTTACAATGCAACCGAAAAGTCGCTCGTATCACTACGCTCTAAGTCGATGAAAGAGCGCTATTACCCAGGAGATACCTACCCTAACCGGGTAACATTTATATGAACATTCAGAGGCAAATTACAAGACATATAAGTGCCCAAGTGCATATTTTTTTCCAAATTATACCTTTTGTTGACAATAACAGCGCTCTTTATCAACCTCCAGCCACAAAAGTCAAACCATCATGACTATTATATACTATTAAAATTACGTTATTAATTATTAAATACTATTAAATTATGATTAATCGTTACTCGATCTAATGGTATAATAATTGCAAGAATAAACTAGTGTAATGACGTTACTGGAATTAAATAGTTTCAAAAGAACTTTAGTTTCCATTCTGAGTCATTCGTTGATCAACAAGTAGACTGAAAAAAAAAAGGAATTTAAGAACCCGATCTTAATTTTTTTATGATACCAAATGGCGGGCCGAACAAATCGTGCACCTGGCGGTAAGTGACACGGCTCTCCATAAAAGTTGCAAAGCCACTCAGACCTTTAAACCTGCGGGGATTACCGACGGGTGCAGTCACCCTGACATGTAAATTAACAAGTCCGATGTGCCTGTAAGTTCACCCTTCAAACTTACCCTTCAAAATCGAAACATAAGTAATGCTCACATTACTGCGGCAGAAATAGGTAAGGTGGCAGTATTTCCCTAGACGACCACTTTCACAAGAAGCTTTAACTACTATTAAATTGTTATACCATTACATTACAACATAAAATTTCAGGGTGAAAATTTGTGTAATATTTTTTTATACAATCATAGAATAGGTTAGCGAAAGACGTAGTAGACGGCACAAGCTATTGTTACTATAAACTAAAGAGTTACGTTGTGTTATGAGTGATGATGAAACATAGAGTAGTCTAATAGAATGTCCTGAACCGTCCGCCTGTTGCTCTCGTAACATGTTCTTGTGGTCCTTACAGTTTCTCTTTTGTTGCACTATAGTAATGAGCAATATTACTGGGTATCAATATTAATGTATCGATTCACCTAAACTTTTTTAAGAAGTTTAAGGGTCGTATTCCAGACCTCTACTCAATGCTCAAGTCAGGATTTGAGTATGGTTTAAAGCACTCGAAATCATACTCAAGTCCCTGCCATTAGGGTTGTATATCCAGTGCTTGTGTGTCCAGTGCAATCCTGACTTGAGCATTGAGTAGAGTTCTAGAATACGACCCTAAGTCTTGTTCTAAATGAATGCTTATGAAGTACATTCACACTACAGAAATTAATATTGTACCTTTTCACATAAATTAACATACGTAGATTGGCTGGATCCTAAAAGTTAATCAAGTAACAAACAACGTGGTAAAAATACTAAAGTAAAACCATTGAGGTAACAAAGTAAATAATTTATTCTGTATTATTTTAATGATACTTCGGTACGCGCACAGTCGATCACAGATACATTGTATCATTTGTTATTTATGGCACTAGATGCAAGGTTATTAACTATAATAATATTTGGCTTTTGCACCTCATTCAGCTTTTAGAATTTATTTCCTATTTGTAATCGAAGGAGAAAAATATACTCTTCATTTCTACCGTTATTTGCACCAGGAGAAATGGATGATAGAGAAACATTCAAAATTAAAACCAAAATTACTTTTTACCAACGTGTCGGTGTTTTCACTTGCAAACCACTTCATATAAATGCTAGATTTTCATTCGCTATTAGAGAAAAAAATTTAAAAACATAGATTAGTTGTAGTATGTAAAGTAATATAACATTTACGGTAACTGAATTTTCGATTGCCTGCATACAATTTTTGTAAAAGTTTAAAATAATTATGATTCAATGGCTATTAAATTGTTTAATGACGAGCAGCGCGTAGTTCCTGTTCGTACTGTTTGGTGAATTTGCCCTGCGGGTCATATTTGTTTGTAAGCTGCTTCCAATATTGTGGTTCGTTGTTGATAAGGTGACTGATTACTCGTTTTGAGCCCCGTCGCTGAGTTTCTGTGCACTTTGCGCAGTGAGTTTCCAGGGCTTCTCTGATGTGCACTATAAGAAATTAATTATAATTAAAAAACGTCTCCGACGTCTTTTTCGCATGCAGGAGGAATACGAAAAAATCAGGACACTATATACAGTTTTTTTTTAAATGAGACAGTATGAAGAAATCAGAAACCGTAGAAGATATAAGGAAACTGTCTTGTGAAAACAATTTTGGCATAGTCAATATTTTGCTCAAGCGCGAGTTGTCCATAGAAATGAATAAAATTGATCAAAATTATTTTTAGTGCTCATCGACTAAGTTTCATGAATGGGTCATTTCAGTGTATGGGACAAAAAAATCAGATCAGCAGAAGTTGGTCAAATTTCATTTCATGAAATTTAGTTATACAAAATGAATAAAATTGACTATTTTTTTCATGCTGGTAGACTCTGCTTCTTTGACTTCATTGTAAGGGTCGAAAATAATCGGGACAACAGAAGTACGTACAATTTAAAAAAATACTATACCAAAATTGTTTTCACAAAAGAAACTCAGTGGTTCCTAAGGCAGTTTCCTTGTATCTTCTGTGGCTTCGGATTCCCCCATACTGTTCCATTTGAAAAATAATACTCTGTGTAATATGTACTATACAGATTGTTTTTGAATAGTTAGGTCACAAGTACGCTCGCGAAACCTTTTTTTATGATACCAAGTTAACCGGACGAGCAAGCGTGTGCCAGGTGGTTAGCGACACGCCTGTCCATAACAATTGTAGTGTATCGGAACTTTAAATCACAAAGATCTGATAGGCACTGCCGATGCGTCCGTCATCCTGAGACATAAGTTGACAAGCCCCATGTGCCTGTACTTGCACCAGCATCCTTACCCTTCAAGAATCATGTTTAGCGGCAGAAATAGGTAAGACAGTACTTCCCTGGACAAACTCTTTCCCGAGGAGCTCTACTGTTATTAAACACGCAACTCTGCGCATTGGCGTTACGTTCATTAAGTCTTTTCTAGAAATAAAAGTATAGCGCTAGTTAGCGCGCTTGTTCGTCTCTTTACTTGGTATCATAAAAATAGAAGATGATGTCATTTTGACAAAAATACTCACATTTAAGCTCCTTGCCCTCTGGCGAGCAATGCCCGGTTTCCAATGCGCATTTGACATACGCGATGAGGATTCGGGGGTTATTCAAGATCTCATCGAGGTCGAGGTTGTCGTACCGGTCGGTGTACTGACCGCTTTTCCCGGCCAGCGCCAGTGCCACCACCGCGAGGAAACAAATGACGACAAATGACTTCATTCTGTAATCACATTATTTTTTCTTCAATTATACTTAGGTGCGGCACCAGAATAAGTTAAAGAAGATGATCAGGTGATGGGACATTACTTAAAAACATATGACGTCAAATATATAAAATATATGATGTCAAACGACTTTCAAGGTAAGGAGAAGTAAGAAATGACATACATAATACATATACAATAGCAAATTGTCAAACAAACAGGAAAATAAAATTGCAAATCAATAAGTTTTTCTTCGCGTATACAAAGTAATGATTATAATTAAGATTAACTATTGTTCCAAGAATATAGTAGATACCTAACTAATGTATTAAAGAAACAAAAGACATAATGAATATCATTATACACTTGAACTTCGTCTATCTACATGGTATTATATAATTGGCAACTGCAACCAAAAGTTTCCGCTAGGTCAAGTTTTGAACGTTGTCTTTTAAGAAATCAAAATAATTTTGAAGCCGATAGCTAAATATGAAGGCTCCATACCGTGAACAAAAACAATTAGGTACAAAATTATATTTTTTGTTCATAGTATTATAAGTATAATTATTAATATAATTATTTTTCACTCGTGTACAAATGTACACAGAATAGCAATGCAAATGAGATGCACTTACCTTAAAGTTAGCTACTGCACACGATACTAGCTGTCAACTACAAAGAAACGTTACAATTTGACACTGGTCAGTGCCAAGTCGAGTTTTTATACTAAAATATAAGCACATTTGGGCCTAGAACTCGTTTAAACACAATTAACGAAAGTTTCGTCACACGTGTAATTAATTGCTGGACAATAACGACCACGATTTGGGTTTTTAATTGTAATTTACGGGAAATACGATAATGAACTCGATGTCTCCGACTGTTGGTAACAGAATGACCGTTACACTGTATAGTTGGTGGTATAGAATGAAACTCTTGAAATGGTAGATATTTTGTAAACATTTATCGTCCTTTCTTCATATGACAATGACCATTTTTATACAAAATTGTTATTCTTTCTTGATACTGCAGGTGTGCTTTGCTATTGTTAAAGAACAAGAACGGATATACTTGAAGTTTGAGCTGTGCAGTTTATTTTCACTACAGTGAGAGGAAGACATATTGGTATAAGGTCTGGGAAATCTGACGGTTCGGGCCAAGGTGGCGGACTATAGCGTAAGCCTAAACCATGGGTTCCCACACATACACACACACACGTAGTGTAATTTATATAGGTAATTCAGGGTTTTTTTTCCAAATGCGAAAGCACTCCCTGGACAGCATCAACGCTCCGCAATGATTCCGACGCCGCTACCGCCCTTCCTAGGACTCTTCAGCGCCCACTGGGGGGGACCCAGCAGTGGAACGTACAAATAACGTAATATCACGAATTTCTGCAATAACTATAACAAAGAAAAAGTTGAGTAAATTCTCAAACTGTCCATGTACATTTTCCTAATACAATTATGGTAAAAAAAATGGAAGCGCTTTTTTATTGATATTTATTGAGTGTATTGAAAACACAGAGCTCTTGTTTTCAAAGCATATTTGGACATCGTGTTTCGAATATTATTTATTACCAGTAAGTAGGTTCTGGTAATAATATTCACAAGTAATCGAAACGTCACTTGAGCCTGTTTCAATATTTGTGTGCGCTAATACCAAGGTACAACAGAGGCCAAACAAACAACGCGTTCTACATTTCCTCGAAATTGACATGTGACAGAGTTTAAGAATGCAAACTGTAACGTCAACTGTAGCGGGTGAGGGATTCAATATTCATTTCCCGACAAACCAATTACATGAAGAAATCAAGTCGCTATCTATTTTGAGACGAACAATAATTATCAATAACATTGTAAGTTACATGACGGCTTCAGGTGTCCAACGGTTAGCGCTGGATATGGAGATTCCGGGTTCAATTACTGACAGGACCAATTTCAGAAATGAAATATTCACAATTGGTTCTAGTTAGTTCGGGAAAGGTCCCCGGAGTGAATTCCGTTACTCTGGTACGTTCTAGTTAGTTCCGGGAAGGACACCGGTGTGAATTCCGTACCTCTGTTACTCATAGCACAGGGAAATCCCTAGTTTGAAACTAGGGTAATTAGTGCGGTTGTCTGTTACCATTGTCATCAGTTATTATAGTCATAAATAACTTAATACAGTATTAGCCACAACTATAGTGATATTGTCTGTGGTGTTACAAACATAAATTACTCATATTACATCATCACATTGAATTTGCTCATTGAAATAACCATAGTTGAATTTGATTAGCTGTTAGGTAATTAGAAATAAATAATCTAAAGGCGTGATTTTCCATACAGCGTATGGAAAATCACGCAGGTAGATTAATATAACTCAACTTAAACTTGAATGCACTTTTTACTTAATATAGCAATGACGCAGTTTGGACCAACGGTAGGTATGCATGACGTCAAAGGAACCTGTTTTATTTTTAGTCCAAGACATCCAGTACATGTTCTACACATGAATATCTAACTTTATCTGTATAAGTAGAGGTGAAAATATTAGGGGAAGTGAAACGACATTGTTATTTAGCAATCAGTTCGTATTTGTTTTTGTATGATGATATACAATATCGACAAACTGTCAAACGGTCGACAACTTATAATACCACCGTCTCTCCAATTTCTACCAAAAATGAGCATTGCTGTGTTCTGCGAATTATACAGAGAAAACCCCATCAGTATTGTAAAAAAACTTTTAATCGGTGCACAAATAATTTACGAGCTGTTAGCTAAAAAAAACTTAAAATGATGTTTTAATGCATACTTTTTATTAAAGGCCATATGACTAACCATAGTTTTATTGAACTAGTCATATGACTAATATCATACGACAATAAGACTAATTAATAATTATAATCACAGTTTATAATTTATTTTATTGATTAATTAATGTTACATTTTAATTTTAGAAAGATAAGTGTTTAATAGTAAACACTGTGTCACAAAAATGTGCATCCAATAATGTGACTAGCTAGCTAGCTGGCTAGCGTCCTGTGGCACTCTAATTTGCTAAACTTGTATGTTGTTATGAGTACGGAAACGTAACGTGTGAAGTTATGAGTACGGTAACCTGCTGAAATAAGATCAGAATTTTTTATTACACCTCGGCGATAATTTTAACATTCTGCAACATTTTTTCAATTTTTTCAATTTCTAATTAATTAGAAAAAACAAAGTTATGAAAATCGCGCTGCTCAAAAAATCTTATTTTATGTATGATTACCATGGTCACGGTTGACTGAGGTGGTACAGTCTTCAATCAGTTATGTCTAATATTTTGCAAACCACCCTATTTTTTCACTATAGTTACAATAGTTATTAATTAAATACCTTATTTTTTACTTTACAAATAAAACATTCCAATTTACGCTACATTATGTTTTACAGATTATTTTATTGAATGAATTTTTATTAAGTTCAATTTATTATTAATTAATAATAGAAATTAGAATAAGCTAAAATAACAAAGATTAGAAAAGCATTTCTAATCTTTTCTTTTTCTAAGATTTTCTCATATATTTTGACCTAGCAAGATCAAAATATATGAGAAAATCTCAATTAATACATCCTTTTGTTATGTAGATTGATTTGAAAATGCATAATGTAATTGTTTATATTAAAATCTAGAATTGTTAACTCTGTTTTGATTGAACTATAGAAACGTTGTGTTGTCTTTGTCAAAAATTTAACTTATTTTGACCTTTTGCCATTTCCAAAGATAATGTAACCACTACAGTGTCATATCCGTCACGTTTTATATGATTTTGCAAGCAACACCTCTATCTCAAGTAGAATCACCTGACCACACGATGTATATCGAGCACTGGGAGTCTATTTTACTCGACTTATATATGTCGATAGTGAGATTCTGAGTACAGCAAAAAAAGCTATTCATCGCATTGGATATGTGTCCTCAATATTTCTCTACTGTAAACATTGTTAGAGGTCAAAAACTGTTAGAGCGGTTACACATTGCGTGTTTTAGCAGCCGATACAAACGCGCGATTGCAACGCGACACGTGATATTTTTAGGCGGTTGCATTGATACAAACGCGCGACTGAATCGATGCAGTCACGACACACGTTTTTAATCATTCAATATAAGCATGTTGAATCAATAACAACATGGGTCGCGTTTGCATCGCGATTGGATCACTGCGCTGCTTAGGTCACGCGTATGAGCAACTGCGTCGCTACTCCATCGCGACTGAATCGCTACAGACGCGCTGCTAAAAGTCAACGTGTGTGTAAAAAAGAAAAATTTGAAAAGCAGAACACTGTTTAAGTGCCCTGTAGTCTATCTAATACACCGACTGTAGTATATTTACTATCTATAACTCGCAGCGACATGTACGTGTATACATAATTACACGTCAATTTTAATGTTTTTGTCCATGTCCGAATATTTGATCGATGACGTGAGTTATAATTGAAGACTCTTCCTAAGAAACGATCAACAACAAGTTATCGGTTTAAGTCCATGTAAAAGACTTCAACGAGTGAGGTTACTCATAATTAACATGTTCAATTATTGTTTTTGATTGAACATTACTTTTTATGGACTATTAAACGAAACAAAATAAATGAAGTTTGAATTTTGTGTATCTTTTTAGTCTCTATTTTCTAGAAGTAGTATCTAGCCCGCACTGGTCAGTGTGGCAAATTAGGAGACATTTTGGACTTTCATAATGTCGTATATTTATTACACAGGGTGAAAATATTTTAAATATTGTAGACATTTTGCTTCATGGGGATGTCCCCATGAAGCAAAATGTAAAAGTGTATTTTGTTTTTAAAAGTAAATAATATTCACTGCATTCAAAGTCTCTTAAAAAGTTATGTGCCGTATTTGGGAATCCAACCGACAAAGTGAAAGAAATCCTGTATTTTTATGATGCCGATCGTAAGAGTCAATTATGAAACAAAAAACCTATAATTATTTAAGGTACTTTCTCTCCGTGTCGCATAGACGTGCGACACCCTCCATAAGTATCTGCACAAATATTTTTTTCTCTTTCTATATGTTATTAGTCTACAATCGCCACAAAGACGCGATCCCAAACTTAGTTAATTAATTTAATTAAACAAACTTATTTATAAATTTTATGCCTTTCAAGGTTATTCAGTGTTACACGCTCGGTTAAGTCAATTATTATTTTCAGTACAATGATTATGTAGCGTGAAACTGCTCCGAAATATAATGGAATCTGGGAATCTGGAAAATAATAAGAAGTATAACGCGGTGAGAAACTAATTAGTGATAATTATTTGGTAAGGTGAGTAAGGGATATTTGAGCACCCAGAGCAGAAATAAATTAAAAACTTTTTTCGAAATTGATTTAACCAGACATCGAACATGTACATAATTTAATAGGAAACTGAAAATCTTTACATAAAAGTGCGAGAAATTTAGTTTCTTCAATGCACTGGTGGCTCTCTGTGCAAAACCCACTCGATACAAAGTCAAGCGTGTCCAGCTTGACATTGAACATAGGCCAAATTCCAAAGTGCCAAGTGTGCTATGCTCTTGACTCTATTAGAGCACAATGTATTTCTAACATAAAACAGGGTGCTTAAGTTCTTGTCCCAAAAACGGTAATAGCATTTCTTTATGCTAAGGCTGCTGTAACCACTTTCTATCAGGGGAACGCACTATGGGAAATAGTAGAACAACAGCGTATCAAAAATGGTTTTGACCAATGTTTTAATTGAGATACACATGTAATTTTATTTGACAGTTTAAGTGTCATAATTTATTATATGGAAGGTTTTTTAAGTTAGATAGGTATGTTAATTTAATAAAAATACATCCAAAATGTCCTTTCCCTT